CACACACACTGTGTGTGCGTGGGGAAGTGTACTTGCTCTTGCCTCCCCTTAACTAAGTCCTTATTCACTAGGCGCCGGGCGGGAGGAGCCTCTCGGCGCCACTGCAGCGCGAGCTGCTCGAGGCGAGACGAGACGCCTTTGAGCAAGACCAGAGGTGTGCGAGATATGGGGAGATATGGGGAGATAGGGTGAGAGCAAGACCAGAGGTGTGCGCAGCCCGAGCCCGGAGGGGAGGGGAGGGGGGGAGAGGGGTTTGGGGGGAGGGGAGGGGAGGGGGGGAGAGGGGAGTTTGGGGGGAGGGGAGGGGAGGGGGGGGGAGTGGGGGGGGGGGGGGGTTCACCACTCTGAGGCCTCGGCGGGCGCGGCACCCCGTAGGTCGGCGCTCGTGAGAGAGCAGCAACGGGAGGTGATCGCGCTGCAAAAGCAGCTCGCGCTGCTCGGTTGCACGCCGCCCGCCGCCAGCGCCGCCAGCGCCGTCGCCGCCAACTCGCCCGCCTCGGCACCGGAGGGGTATAACACTTCTCCGCCCGGCGCCGGGGAAGGGGGTGGGGAAGGGGCGAGCAGCCACCACCGCCCGAGCGCATCGACGCCCTTCCTCGTCTGATTGCGGCGCCCGGTCTCTCACGCTGCCGCCGCAAGTGGCCCCGGGTTGCGACTGTCTCTTGTCCTTTGTCGGAGTGTGTGTTCGGATTGATGTGCCGTGATCTCTGAGTTCTGTGGGCCCTGGGGAGCGGCGAGGGGCGAACCCAGGACAGAGCGAAAGTGTGTGGTGCCCGTGTCTCGTGATCGATTATCTTTATGTGCAATGTAAGCGACGAGAATGCCATGCTCGTGACCGAAGGCTACGGCCCCGTCGTGACTAGCCCCGTACACGCCGCTTTCGTGGGGGCGCGGAAACACACCAATAACACGGCGGAGCTGTCAGCGCTTGCGGCGCTTTTTCGCTCACTACTCCACACGGCACCACGACCAGCAGGCTCACGAGGGGTGAGGTTCGAACGGACAGCGAGTACGCGATGGCGTGTGCGACGGGGAGAATTTCCCCGGGGGAGAACGCACACGAACTAGCGAGCTATCTTCGTACTTCGAGCAGCGTGGCGGCATTTAGCGTCGAGGCACGAAGTGACATGGAGACACGTCAAGGGACACAGTGGTCATAAGTGGAACGACTACGTCGATAAGAAAGCTGACCTCGGCAGGAGCGGCGCGAGGGATTGCGGCGCGCCGGAGTGGCAAGACGAGTCTGTCCCAACAGACGCAGACGACGGGGAGAGCAGCACCGTGGGCGACGACATGCCTATCAACGGAGGAGGTACATGTACAACCATCCCACTCGACGACATCGGTGATGGGGCCTCTAGAGCTACGCCGATGACCCACCCGACTCCCCCGAAACAACAAACCGCCGCGTAGCGCCCCGCCCTCACCGCCTAAAGCCCCAGTCGTGGAGCAGGGGGTGATATGGATTTCATACACGCCGAGCGCGCAAGCGCGACACATCGGAGACAATAGGCTGATCCGGCGTGAAAGAGCTATCGACATCGACCTTGACCCAGCCGATTCCACCGATGTCGACGTCATTACCTCCGCGGCTACCGCGCTTTCGCTCGACGACACCGTGGAGAATCGCACCTTGCCGAGGCGATAGGCCGAATCACTTTGGGCCCCGCCCCCGCCCCCACCCCTCGGGGTGGGGGCACCCGCCCCTGTCGGGCGCCGCTTGCGGCGCCTGGCAGGGGCACCCCCTGGGTGGGGGCCGGCGATTCCCATGCCGGCTCTCCGCCACAACCCCCGCCGGGAGGGAATCCCTGCTCACAGAAAAGGGCTCCGAGCCCTGTCTCGCGCACGCCCCTGGCGGGCGCCGCGGACCAGTTCCGCGAGCGCTTGTCAGTGGGCGGTGTGCGGTTCTTGCCGTAGTTCCTCTTCGGTCGCCTAGCCCCGGCGCCGTCTGTCGGACGCCTGCGTGTCACGAGTGCGAGCCGCTCGCGGTTCGTACGCCCGCTTGCGGGTTCGAGTGGCGGGCCATCCCGCTTGCGGGATGGCTTAGCGGGTTCGAGCCGTCATACATTGGCTGCCGGGGTGTGCCGAGGGGGGGCTGGGTGGGCGGTAAGCCGTCATTGCCCGGCGCTGCTTGCAGCGCTCTGGGTGGAAGTGGCGGCGCTCCAAGAGTGGCGCTCTCGGGAAGAGGTTCCTCCTTTCCGCTCCCCCCCCCGCAAGGCGCGAGACACACGAAACCGAAGACCAAAATCCTGGGGCCAGTTTTGCTGCGTGCGTGTGACTCTCTCGCAGCCCCTGTGTGACCCCCGTCAGCGTCACCTGTCTCCTGTGTGGGTGGGTCCGTGTGTCGTCGACGTCCCACATCTCCCGAAGGATTCATAATATTGTTACGTGAGAGTTATAAAAGGAGCACGACGCCCAGCTAGTCTACAGCGCTTTCACATGCAGGTGTGTATGCCAGGACGAGGAGCGGAGAGAGGAGTAAGTAAGCCTGTCCGGCGCCTCGAGCCACACGGCCTCCTTCAGCTTCCGTCCCACTGCTTGAGCCCAAGCTCTGCCGGGCTGCGATTCCGGTTGGCCTCCACGACCTTCCGCCCCGAGGCATCGCGCGCAAGGCCGCCGTTCTGCTTCCGATTCTTCTGCACCGTGTCATTGGCGTCAAAATCCTTGGACGCGATGCCGCGCACGCCCTTGTCGCCCCTGATGTCCTCGTACTCCTTCTTGCGGTACTCGCTCATGTACTGCCCAGCATTCGCGCCGGCGCCTTCCACCTTGTTTGGCGCAACGGTGGCTTTGGATCTCGCAATTGCGCTCAGCGGCACCGCCGCAAGCGCTGCCGCGCTGCCGCGCAGAAGATGCGCCCTCGGCATGGAGACTGCGTCCGCCGAGTGCGAGCAGGCAGCCAGGACGACCAGACAGCGCAGCATGGGCTAGGAGGCTGCCCACGAGTCTGTTTCACCTCACTGCGTCCCCTCTCCTTCGCCTCCGTTCGCGGAGCGCGAAAAGAATTGGACTCGGGCGTGCCCATCCGGTTTGTTTCGATTTTTCTTTTCGGGCACGGGAGCGCTCACACCGAGCGTACGACAGCAGACAGGCTTGGCACCGAGTCAGAGCCATGCGGCTCCCAGCGTGGCTCCAAGGCCTCTCCCAGCCAGGCGGATACGCCGCCGTCGCCGCGGCGGCGTGGCTCCTGGCCAAGTACACGCCGCCGCTCTCCGCGATTGTGCGGGCGCTCAAACGGCCCGCAATCCTACACAAGCGGCAGAGCGGATCCATCCCGACGCCGGGCGGCGAGCTGGACTCGCTGGTCGACGCTGATTTCACGCCGCCGCTGCCGGAGCCGGTCGTCCAGGTCCTCACGCGCTGCTGCCTCTGCTTCCTTGCGACGTCCTCTGGCGACTCGCCGCACCTGTCGCTGATGCGCTTCTCCTTCTCGCGCTCGCTAGCGGCTCAGAGGCCGGGCGCTGAGGTGCTCATCGTGTCGACTCGTCGCAGCACGAAGAAATACGCGACCCTCTGCGCCAACCGGAACGTCGCCCTTCTCGTGCACGATTTTGCGGGCGAGAACGAGAGCGACCTGCTCAACTACACGGCCCTCGAGGGGCGGCCTCGCCACTCGATCACCCTCTCCGGCGTCGTGCGCGAGGAGCGCGGGGAGATGGCGGAGCGGTACCGCGCCATACACCTCGAGAAGAACCAAGCCTATGCGCAGTTCATCGTCGGCGACGACATCGCCATCCTCACCGTCGAGATCGAGACCGCCCGCGTGTGTGATGTCAACGATCGAGTCAGCCACTTCGAGCGCCAGCAGCGCGGAAGCGCGGTGTGGGTCCAGACCGATTTGTGAATGTGCACTCATCGTGAAGACCATTCTGTTGTATCACCACGTCCACGACCACGCGCCCCACGTGCCACGAGCACACCGACCACCGCGCACCGGCACCCGCTGCACCTCCCACGCAGTGAAACCACCCCGGGGCCAACCGTCTTCGGTTTCGTCGCCAAGAGTGTACTCTTGGGCCCCGAACCCGAATAAAAAAACGTGTACCCCCTTGGAGTGATCTTGAGTGTTGCTCAGTGTTCAAACTTTACCGGTATGGGAGTTTTTGGCTGCTAACGTCAAACCCAAGGCCTGCACTAATCAAAAAGTGGTACGGGATACCAGTTGCCTCACGGAAATCAAAGCGAGTCGGAGTGCCTTCTTGGTGGCAAAATCGGCAAAATCGGCAAAATACCGGGTATTTTGCGGGTATACCTGGAAAAACCCGGGTATACCCGGGTAATACCCGCACTTTTGCATGGTTTCGCCCCCGGGACCACGACAGCCGCTACAACTAATGAAAACCCCGCATACACCACTTTCGCATACCACTATACCATACCACTCCAAAACTAATCAAAATATCGCCAAATACCGGTCTCATACCGGTAAAGTTTGAACAGTGGTGTTGCTATGGAGCGTCCGGTTCAACACGCGCTTGCGCGCTCGCGTCTGCTGCGCACCCAGCACGCACTTGGAGCACTTGGAGTGCAGTCATTAACCTCACATCCAGGGCCAGGGAGCTTAGAAGCGCACCCAGCGAGCCGGATGATCGGCATCGGGCTACGGGCTAGAGAGCCCTAAGTAAACACGGGTCCCCGAGGGTTGGCTCTGCGCTCCGAAAAGAAAGAAAGAAAGAAAACAGACAACCCAAGGGAGGGATGGCTCTGCGCTCCGGGTTTCCCCTAAAAGAAAGAAAGAAAGAAAACAGACAACCCAAGGGAGGGATGGGAGGGTTCCCAGGGACCTGCTTTTTTCTTGTGAGGCTGGCGCGCAGCGTTGCACGCTGCACCATATCGGTATACACATATGCGGCGCCTCGCTCTCGCCCTGGCGGCCCTACCTCACGCCGCAGCCTTCGCGCTTTCGTCGCCAGCAGTGCTGAAGTCGCCGCTCGATGGCCGCCTCTCGCGCGCAAGGCCGCTCTTTGTGCAGGAGCAGGGCTATGCGCAGGATCTGCCGACCGGGTGGAGCGCTGCTTACGCCGAGGACGGAGCGCTCTACTACGTCAACGAGCAGACGGGCGAGTCTCAGTGGGAGGCGCCGCTACCTCAGAGCTACGGCGTGGCCCTGTGGCGGCTCGTTCCCTTCGCCGGGGTGTACGATGAGTACGCGCTCGGCGCCGGCGAGCAGCAGGTGCTCGGCCGCTTCGACATGATGGCGCAGTCGCCGTACGTGTCTCGGCGACAGTGCGTCGTTCAGGTCTCCGCCGACGGAGTCGCCACCATGACCACGACCGGGAAGCCCGCCACAGTCTGTCGCCGGTGGGGCTCCGAGTGGTACTGGTTTCGGCGCGACACCGGGCGGCGGTACCGGACGCCGCTCACGCAGACCGAGCCGCACATCCTGGTCGACGGCGAGCAGATCAGCCTGGACTGCCACAACCCAGAGGCGGCCATCTACACGGTCGCCTGCTGCCAGGAGGCGGGCGGCGCAGGCGCAGGCGGCGGCGGCGGGGTGGAGTACAGCGACGACGGGTGCTGGATGTGGAACGGGGTGGAGTGGGTGCCCACGGCGTAAGAAAGAAAGAAAAGAAAGAAAACACATAAACCCCAAACGAGGGATGGGGGAGGACGACAGGGTCCACACCGCTGCACGAGCAGGATTTTGGAAGGACGATCAGGGGCTCTCCTGCTCCGGACAAGGGACACGACAGGCTCGCAGCGCGGTGCACGGTGGACTCCCTGGCCACTCGGAGCATGCTCGCTCAGCAAAGCCTCCGCCGGGCCGCGATCTCCGCGCTGTGGTGCCACGCTCGCGCGCTCGCCACCACGATCGCCGGTCCCTGCTCGTACGAGGTCGTGGTGAAGAAGTCCCGCTTCGTCGCGAGCGCGGCTCCGGTCAGCTCGGCCGAAGAGGCCCTCGCTTGGGTGCGGCGTGAGTCGGACGAGTCTGCGCGGCACAATTGCTTCGCCTACACGCTGTCGGACGGCTACAGCCGATCCAACAACGACGGTGAACCTGGAGGCACGGCAGGGCCGCCCATCGCCGCAGCCATCGCGGGCGCTGGCGTGGTCGATGTGGCAGTGCTGGTGAGACGCTACAGACTGGACGGCGGCGCGAAGCTCGGGACCGGTGGCCTGGTCCGGGCGTACGGCGGCGCGGCGCAGGGCGTGCTCGAGGCGGCGGCGCGGACGCCTCTTGTTCGGCTCGTGCGCGTAGAAGCGAAATACGCAACCTTGCATTTCCCAACTGGCGCTCGAGGACACGCGTTCAGCTGCATTCGACAGCATTCAGCTGCGTCCCCGCCCCGATGTTGGCGTACTCACACCGTAGGCTCGTCCCCCTGACGGTCGAGTTCGAGGCGACCGACACTGGGGCGGTGTATCGCGAGGCGGGCGGCTTCGAGGCGGGGCCGGTGTCGCCGGGAGACGGCGCGAGGACGAGGGCGACCTTCCGAGTCCCCGCAGAGCAGGCGGAGGAGGTGGCGCGCAGCATAGAAGGAGCGACGCACGGGCGCGCGACGGCGCGGTGGGCCGGCTTCGACGGCGGCGGCGAGGATTGCCGTGGCGGCGGCGGCGGCGGCGGCGGACCGACACCAATGGCGGCTGTTGCTGCGGCTGCGGCTGCGCCTGCAGCTGCTCTCGAGCAGGCCGCGCCTCCCGAGTTGGGTCGCGTGGATGGACTGCGTGAACTGGTGGACGGTTTGCCGAGGGAGGCGCAGGCGGCGGCGCTGCGGTGGTGCGACGCGCACGAGGCGGGTGCAGTCTCGCTCGTCGTGCTGGCGGAGCTCGACCAGGCGCTGGTCGGCTCGCTCCCCGAGGAGGCGGCGCAGGCGGTTGGAGAGCGGTTGTCCGTCCTGCGGCGGCAGCTCCTCGGTCCCACCTCTTGAGCCAGAATAAATATGTATGTATCTAAGGAGAGGATTCAACTTTGGTGGGGGAGCCGCTTTGGCCGCGTGGACCGTGCAAATCGTGGAGTTGCGAGTCACGCTCGGGCGGACGGCAGCATCGGATGCCAATTACCGTGTTCAATCCCCCCTCCGGGTGATGCCAGGGGCCCAGGGCAGCCAGGGCAAGCCTGGGCACCGCAAGGCTGAGCTGATGCGAGTGGGCCTAGACACTTCTTCTCGCGCTCGTTTTTTTTTACAACCACACAGAAACTTCGTCGAATCATTTTTCTTTCTCGAGCAAGCGGCGTAAAGGCCAAGTAGTCCCGAATCTCCGTGGTTGTTTCTTTCATTTAGCCAAAAACGCAAGACAGAACATACGACTTTGGCCCCCGACACGTCGTAACTTTTTTCTTTGCGGTGCTCTGCACACTCTGCCGCGTCCGGGTCTCCGATCAGCGGCCGCGCGGCTTGCCGGCCGCCTCCCACGCGACCAACCACTCGATCACATGCTCGTGCCTCTCGCGGCCGGCGTCGGAGTACGCGTTGTTGCCGGCCAGGTTCAGCTCCGCAGGGTCGGCACCGTTCTTGACCAGCGCCATCACGGTGTGCAGCTGCCCGAAGGACGCCGCCCAGCCGGCCGGCTGCGCGCAGAACCAGAGCGGGTTCCGCGCGTTCGGGTCGCAGGGCGTGCAGGGGATGTGCTTGCACGGCAGCGAGGTGAGGCAGTCGACGAGCGGCGCGCAGCCCCACATCGCGCAGCAGCTCGTCGGGCAGATCGCGAAGCAGGGCAGGCAGAGCACGGAGCAGCAGGGAAGAGCGGGCGCCTGGTCGGGGCGCGGCCCGCCGTTGGCGTGCGCGCTCTTGTCAAAGAGGCGGGAGGCGTCGATCGCAGTCGTGCCGCGCGCGTGCCGCTGGTACTCGTTGAGGAAGGTCGCCACGTGAAAGTGCCGCTCGCGGTACGCGTCGGTGAGCGGCCTGAAGCCCGACATGTTTGGCGGCCGGAGCGGATCTGCGCCGCACTGGATGAGGGCGATGACGGCAGATAGGTGCCCGAGCGACGCCGCCCAGCCAAGGGGTTCGCTGTCGAACCACGCATGCATCTTGGCGTTCGGGTCGTGGCCTGCCGCACAGAGCTGCCTGATGGTTTCCGCCTCGCCGCGCATCGCGGCGCGATGCAGCGGCCATGCCATCGCCCAGCCCATGCCATCGAACCAGCCGTAGGCCTTGAACTGATCGGGCCGAGGGCCGCCCGAGACCGGGTAGGAGCTGACCCAGCGCATCAGCTCGCTCTCCTCCACCGAACGCGCCATCACGTGGGTGGGTGGTGCCGTGTCGATTGGCACGGCCATGGCGACGGGCATCCCTTGGTCGGGCACGACGCCCGTGGCGACGGGCAAGCCTTTGTTCATGGCAGCCGGAAGGGGGAAACGCGCCTGGCGCCGCGTTTCCCCACTTCACAGGTCATCGTTCACGACACTGGGCACGGGACTGGCGCGCACTGGCACTAACACAGGTACACTAAGAAAGAAGAATTTTAGAAAGAAGACATGTCAAAAAGAAATTTTATTTTTCGAGCGGGGCGGTGTGCGCGCTGTGCCTCTGTGTTCGTGCGTCGCCCATCTCTCCTGGAGATGCCTGCTCTATTTATTTATAAAGGTGGGGACTCTGTCGGTCTGTCCTTCTCCCATCCCTACTTTATTGGGTTTTTAGTCACTTTCTTTAGTTGGCCCGGGTTGGCACTGCCACTGGCACTAACACAGAATTCCCGCCACTGTCTCAGTCAGCTCTCTCGCAGAGGCGAAAGCACTGGGCACGGGACTTGCGAACACTGGCACGGACACAGGTACACCACGGGAGCTGCAAACTAAGCGACTCCTACGCGGGGCCTCAAAAGTACCGAGTTTGCAATGAGAAGTGACCCGAGCCGCAGTTCTCTTGCTCCAAGTGCTGGGCGGGGGCGCGCTGGGCAGAGGCTCGACACGGTCATCGGCTCGTGTCGAGGTCGGAGAAGGGGAAGGGGGATTTCAGGAATAAATAAATAAATAAATAAAACGGGCACGCCAAACGAGGGGTGGGAGAACGCCCTGGAAAAAGAAAGAAAGAAAACAGACAACCCAAGGGAGGGATGGGAAAGAAAGAAAGAAAGAAAACGGACAACCCAAGGGAGGGATGGGAGGACGGCACGCCGCCACCACACAGGGATTTTTTTAAGGAGGGATGGGAGCGGCGAGCTCAACTGGGTAATTCTTTTTCGCTGCCTCTGCCGGCTCTCCACTGCCGGGCGCGTCTCGGGCTCTTTCCGCCCGGCGATGACGACTTCATCCCGCCCGCAGCGCCTCGCTAGCCTTGGGCTTGGCAACATGAACCGGCGAGAGGTGCCTGTCGGGCAGTACTGGCAGGTGCAGGTGCCCGCTTGGCGCGGCATCGTAACATCGTCCGACGCTGCTGCTGCAGACCCGTCGTCAGCGGCGCAAATGACGGCAAACGCCGACCCGGTGCCGCAGTCGTCGATTGAGGAGGAGTTGGCGAGGCGGACGGCCCGCAAACTCACCGCCCTCGCGTTTGAGGAGGACTGCGCCCACGCGCACCGGATGGCAGCCGCTGTCGACCCCGCCTTGGACAACGGGGAGAGCCTGCGCCTCACCTCGTCGGGCTCGTACCTGTCTCGCTGGGGCGCTCGTCCGCCGCCGCCCGGCCCCGACGACGCGCTCGGCTTCGCGGCGGTGCTTCGAGCGGCGAGGGCCGAGGCGAAGGCGCTGGAGAGTGCGCCTCCAAAGCCAAAGCCGCAGCAAAAGCAAAAGGCGGCGCGGGCGCCGCGTGCGAGGCTGAGGGACATGGGGGCGGTGCCGGGCGAGAACTTTACGGAGGGGCTGCGCCTGCTCGCCGAGTACCTCGACGAGTGCGGCGGCGACGGCAGCAGCCTCATCGCCGACTGGCAGTGCCGGGTCGAGGCGCGCGCACTCTGTTCTCATACCACTAGAGGACGCGGAGAGGGGGGCGGCCCGGGACGGCGGATGGAACCAACCCTGGTCTGACCGCCTCTCGCGTCGCAATCTCGCCTGACTCTGATACCCACAGCCACTCACGCAATCTGTCGCGCTCCGCCGGCCGGCGCCGCTGAGCCGCTGCGCCTTGGCTGCGCGCCTCGGCCTGCACCTTGGTTGCACACCTCAGCGAGTGACGCCCGTTCTCAGGTGCGGAAGGAGGGGAACACTGCGGGGACGAGCGACATGTACTACTACTCCGACAAGGGCCAGCGCCTCCGCTCAAGGGCCGAGGTAGCGGCTCGCCCTTTCCCCTTCCGGCCCGACACCTCTCTCCCGGAGACACGCCCGCGACACGCCCACGACACGCCCACGACACGCCCGCGACACGCCCACGACACGCCCGCGACACGCCCGCGACATGTCCACGACACGCCCTTCTTTAGGTGGCTCGGTTCTTCAGGCTGGAGCCGATCAAGAGGAGCGGCAAGAGGCCAAAGCTGAGCGGAGGAGCGGCCCCGGTGGCGGCGGCGGCGGCAAGGCCCTACGACCCATCCGCCATCGCCTCCTCAGAGCCCGCACCGCCGCCCGCCTCCGTCGCCGCCGCGCCGCCCGCCGCGCCGCCCGCCGCGCCGCCCGCCGCGCCGCCCGCCGCGCCGCCCGCCGAGCCGCCCGCTGAGCCGCCGGGCGCTGGCGAGGGATGCGTCTCGCTCAAGCTGCAGGGTGCTGCGGGGCGGGGTGAGGTGGCGGCGGCGCAGGGGGCAGCGGAGCTGACGGCGGCGCAGGGGGCAGCGGCGGGTGCGGTGGCGGGTGCGGTCGCGGTCGTGGCCGTGGCCGTGAGCAACGGATTTGGCGGCGGCGGCGGCGGCGGCGGCGGCGGCGGCAGGAGCGGGAGCGGGAGTGCAACCACCACTCACCGAGCTTCCACGCCGCTGGGAGTCAGCCAAGCCGACGCTGCCGCCGACGCGGGGATGGGCGGTGGTGCGGCTAGCGGTGCGGCTTGGGAGGCGGCTGAGGCGGCGCCATCGGTGGCCGCTGCTGCGCGGCCGCAGAAGAGGGCGCGAGAGAAGCGGAGATTCGCCGAGACGTAGCCGAGTGGCTCTACACGCTGGCGAGTGGCATGCGCTCGCACTGAATAGACACAGATGTAGATGCACACTACCGACGTGAGGAATGGATGACTGAGTGAAGAGGTGTCGCTCCCGCAACGCCACGGCGCTAGCGGCTCGATGGCACACAAGGGCCCGTCTCTTGGCTCTCTCGCTCGCGGAACCTTCTCGGAACCCTCCTGCAGGCGCGCACGATCAAGCCGCCTCGCGGCAAGCCGCCGCGCGCAGAGGGGTGCCGCGTGGCGTGGGACGGTGTGTAGACGGGCGGGCGAGGCAGCAGCGAGCGGCTCCCTCTTGCCCCCCCCACCCGTCCGGCGAGGAGCTGCCGTAGGCGCCATTGGCTGCTACCGGACGGCGGAGGAGCCTCCGAGGCGCCGCGCGCGACGCCTCCTCGCCGAGCCCTCCGGGAGACTGTGAGGCCCGAGAGCTGCCACGCGTAGGTACTGGCACGGCGCGGCGAAGCTTGGCAAAGGCGAGGCGGCGGTGAGGTCCACCGCACCCCACGCCGCACAAAGAGACGTCCCTCTCTGTTCTTCCGTAGGCGGCTGGAAGGCGAGCGTGCCGTGGTGTGCTGCCTGGAGCTTGCCCGAGGCGTGACGCTGGACTGACTCCCCGCGGCTCGCGCGGGGAGACGGGAGTTCTTGTTCGTTCCCTCCGTTGCTTTCGTTATCTCAGGGTGGCGCGCGCGAGACATGACTCATGAGAAGGAGTCTGTCCGAGACACGATCGATTCGTTTTTCATTAGCATTCCACGTAATAAACTTTAGAAGTTACGCATGTGCGCCCTCCCCTCACCTGGGCGCAAGCGCCTCACGTCACACGTGTCGTGTCCCTTATACTCTCGCACAACAACCCACTCACAAGTGCAGGCTTATTACCGAATGGATGACGTGCGATTGGACGCGCCGTAAACTGTCGAGATGCAGACCACCCCTTGGTTGCATAGAGTGTCGACACCGAACACGCATCCTGACCAGACTGGGTTCCAGTAAACGCAGCCCTCCTGACCAGACAGGGTGCCGTCTCGTCAAGCCAGCAGCCCGCGGGCCGTGGGCCCCAGCCAGGAAGGGCCTGCATCCTACAATTGGTCGTGGCTGGGGCCCACGGGCAGCGCTGACCGTACGTGGTAGCGTCCCAGTCGCCGAAGGCACGACATTCGTCTTCCGTCGCCATATGACGAGTGCCAGGAGGGCAGTCGATCGCAGAGTTCGCGGCGACATATGTAC